TCTGCTTCTGGGATAGCTCACTCAGGATGATCTTTTTCCAGATCCCACCATTTACCTGCAAATTTCATGATTTCCTTGTTTTTTATTGCTGAGTAATATTCCATTGTGTAGATATACCACAATTTGTGCATCCATTCCTCCACTGAGGGGCATCTGGGCTGTTTCCATCTTCTGGCTATTACAAATAAGGCTGCTACAAACATGGTCGAGCAAATGTCCTTATTGTGTACTTGAGAAACTTTGGAGACTGCTATTCCAACCAAGGACTATGCATGGAGATAACCTAAGACCCCTGCACAGATGTAGCCCATGGCAGTTCAGTATCCAAGTGGGTTCCATTGTAATAGGAACAAGGACTGTCTCTGACATGAACTGATTGGCCTGCTCTTTAATTACCTCCCCCCTGAGGGGGAAGCAGCATTACCAGGCCACAGAAGAAGACAATGCAGCCACTCCTGATGAGACCTAATAGACTAGGATGAGAATGAAGGAAAAGAAGTCTTCCCCTATCAGTGGACTTGGGGAGGGGCTGGCATGGAGAGGGTGGAGGAAGGGAGGGATTGGGATGGGAGGAAGGAGGGAACCACGGGGGGCGGGGATACAAAGTGAGTAAAGTGTAATTAATAAAGAAAAAAAACGTATATTTAAAAAATTATTTTAGACCTACCTCAAAAGTTGAACAAAGTTTTCAGATCTTTAAGTTAGTAAGTCAGATGTACCAAAACACTGAATAAAACATCACATTTCAAGCAAACTTTTATGCCTTTATTTTCTTCTCAAGCAGCCTTTTTACAACAAATTTTTAAAATAAGCTCCAATTTCACTTACAATTCCAAGGCCTTGATGCCTTTTCTTTTATGTTCGAGTTTACAAGGTCAGTCTGGCCCCTGAACTTTTTAAATTTGGTCAGACGAGGGATTCCAAAATAGCCATTCTATAGACTGTGAAGGTTATACTTAAGAACACCTATGTACACATACATAGCTTTTTGCACCCAGTAACAACTAATGAAAACAGAGGCCATACATTTGAAAGAGAGCATGGAGAGGCATATGGGGACAGGGGGTAGAGGGAGGAAAAAGAAATGGAAAAATGCTGCAATTATAATATAATTTCAAAACTTATAAAAGTAAAAACATTCACACACTAGTACCACCACCACCTCTCACCCCAAACAGAAAACCCTTTGTGTCTATGAGTCCCCCCCGTATTTACATTAGATGCATCTGTAGAGTATATAAAATTTCTGAGGCTCAAGCCTCAGCTCAGACCAGTTACATCAGAATCTCTGAGAGTGACAACCAGTTCCTGACATTTTTTTTTACAGCTCGTTGGGTAACCCTTATAAACAGTCATGGTAGAGTTCTATTTGTATATGTTGTTATAAACATCTGAAAGTTCTTCTTAGAAGAGCTTTTAGCCAAAAGTCTGTAGACCATTCTTCCTCCCACTCTTTCCACTTCTTTTCTCCTTTCTTCCTATTTCTGTTCTAAATACTTCCACTACATCCTCAAAACTTCAACCTGCCATCTTGTATAAATTCCCTCTACTCTGTGTCCTCCACTTCTCTACCTGCAAAACAAAACAAAACAAAAAAATGGCAGAATGTATTAGTTCTGTCTATGCTGTGACAAATACCAGACAGAAGTTACTTAGAAGAGGAGATTGACACAGTTTCAGGATGTAATAGTCCGTCATGGCAGGGAAGACATGGTGGCAGGAGGGGATCAAGCTGTAGTATTAGGAGCAATGATTGGGGCTCTCATATGATGTGGCTCCACCAAGATGTAGAGACTGGACTGGAACAGGAGGGAAGTATAAGTTTAAAAGGTCACATCAAGTGACCAAGCTAAAACAGACAGACCTCAGAAGTTCCATAAACTGTCCAAACAGTATCACCAGGCAAGGGCCAAGTGTTCAAATAGACAAGACTGTGACAACATTTCACATTTAAGGTGAACGTGTGGGACCAAGCAGTCTACAACAGGCTCACTGCTCAAAATCCCCGATGCTTCTATTTTTGTTCTTTCTTTGAAACCATTGCCCATACTACTCCTCAGTATTAAAGAACAGTTTTGTACTTCGTTCTCACCATTGCAAACCAGAGAACATCATGTACTTGCAAAGTTTCCCCAGTCAATAACTGACCCTCTCTAATTGTATTGCTGTTCAACACCCTTCGTTCAACAACAGTAGGATACCCACCAGGCAAACTCTTCTTTGTGTTACTTTGGCAAAATGTTGTCAAACAACAGGAAGAAAAGAACAGCCTGTAACTGCCTTTGGAATGCAACCAATTATGGCAGAAAGAGACCTAAAAACTATTGTAGGAATGAGAGATTTGTCCTGAGAATCTTATCCAAGGGCATGATAACGCATTGGAGCACATTCTTTTTTGTGTGAATTGTTATGGCAATGTGCCAGAGTGGACCCTTCGACACAGAGAATAATGCATTATATCTGAAGTCCAGCTTCTGATCATTTTTCCCTTTTCCCAAAGCAAACTTTTCCAAAAAAAAAAAAAAATGTATGCCTATGATATGTAGCAAAATGAATTTGTCTTATGGTAAGACAAACTGGGGTCAAAGGCTCTCCCAGCTACCTAAGTCTTTCTGTTACCTCCATCTGATGGTTTTCCTTTTTAACTCCCTGTGAAATCCTTTAATGGGCTTTACCTCTTTACCCTTAACATATGTGCCTACAACAGTGTGTATTAATGCTCTAATCCTTAAGGTTTCATTATTATTCAAACCATCCCCCTTCTACCTGCACTCTACCTCTGCTCCAGAAAAAAAAAAAAAAAAAAGAGGGAGAAGAATAGTTGATTTTATCACTCCTTGAACTCTTGATGAAAGAATAGTAGTTGCTGTATTAGTACTGCAAGACTAGCTACTTTCCTTGGGAAAATACTTTTATTCATTTAACAACTATGGATGAGGACAGTCTAGATATTACACATTGTTCTAGGCACTGGAGATATAGCAATGAATTAAACAAAGTTTTTGACTATAGAACTTGCATCCTACCACTGTTGTGTTTCAATGAAGCGCTTGGCTGTGTGATGTACTGCTGTTACCTGTGTTTATACCCTCAGCATACATTCTCGAGACTTTATTTGATTCCCATCTTTTCCTCCTCTGCAGCTCGCTTACACATAACAGGGTTTAGTGCTCTGAAACAAACTTTTGATTAAGTCATTTCTCTGCTTAAAAAAAAAATCCTTCAAAGGCTTCCATACTCCCACCTCTATCATTTACCAAATAAACTACTTACCCCTCAGCTAGTCATTTAAAGTCCTCCATGATCTGACTCCAACCTCCTTTGGGAATGTTGTCCTTCAACTGTTCCATCTTAAGGACTCTATGTTCTTTGCTACACATTCTCAGTTTGGAAACTTCTGCCTGGAATATTCTCCACAAAATGCTTATTAAAGAAAAAAAGTCTACCCACTCTTCATGCCCTCTGTCACAAATTCTCCTCAGCATCTCTCCTCATAATTTAAACACCACTTTGTACTTTTTCTTCTGACCTGTTACCTTCTGCCTTATGTTGCAGAGTAACTCTTAAACTGGGAAGTGTGAATCTCTTAGCAGAAAGGTACCTTAGCCTCTGGGGATGTTTTCTTCCTCAGGAGTTTCTCTGTGAATCTAGTCCTACCTACAAGGACAAAGGAAAGCTTCAGCAAATTGCCAGTGCTGCTTTTTTCCTCAGTCACATCCTTACCTTTGCTGGTATAGGAAGACACACACTTAAGATCTTAGTTCACCACTAAAAATCAAAGTCATCAAATTGCTGCCAGCATATATAACTCAGTGCCTGCCATCTCATTGTTGATGCTTGTTTTGAACTGTTTTTTTTTCCTTGTCATTTATAGAGACATTCTTACCTCCGATCTCCCTATGATCCTCCACCAAGCAGACAAGCTGGAGGTCCTCCCCGCTTTCCTGGGGGCAGAAGTCACCGCGGAACTCTTATGGATTCCCAGCAAGCATCAGGGACCATTGTGCAGATTGTCATCAATAACAAGCACAATCATGGACAAGGTAAAGGGCATCCTCTTCAGTGTGCCTGATCTTTAGAGACAGAACCTGGAACAGAACCCCTTATCCCATAAAACATATACTCACCTGTGGATTACTTAATGTAAAATCTGCAAAATGGATATGAACGGCTTTCTCAGGAGGACTTGTAAGACTTTCCCCAAATGCACCCAGAATAGTGTACACAAGAACCCTCTCTGCTTATGAAATAGCCTCCAGCACTTTATCCAGTGTCTCTGGGAGTTGGAGTTCTTTTGGGAAAATCCACTATCTTTAATCAACAGAACACCCAACATTCAAAGGTACTCAATGCCAAACAATTCTGTAGCTCTTCACAGTGTTAAGTAGCCTTTCTTCTGGGACTACTTTCTTCTGTTAAATATTCCTGGATCCAATCTTTGAGACTCTCATTCGGTGTGCAACAAATGAGGAGATCATTGGAAAATTGAATGAGCCAGTGTGAGATATCCGGAAACCACCTGGCTGAGCACTGGGACCACCGAGTAGGTTAATGCTGTAGAACACTCAGCCATGAGTCTGATTGCATAAGAATCCATATGCGATCATTTGTCTAATTTTCTCTCTTCTGGCCTCCAATGGCACAAATCCACTAGTGGAGGTAGGAGGACAAAAGCATAATATTGACTGGTTCCTAGTTTGTTTGGTATCCTGTCAATCAGCTTTTTGGTACAAAATCCCAACTGGTTCCTTTTTACATAACCACAAGCATGTTTTATTTCCTTTACAGAGAAAATAAATCAAAAGGCAGTTCTTTGAACATAAAAGTAAACTATTAAACCAAATAAATGAATAACAGGGGTGAAAAACAATCCATTACAAAGAAGTCCTAGGATAAATCTCGACAGAGCTGGTCAAGCCAAAGCTAGTTCATTACATCTGTTAATAGTTAGATATAAATTTCAGATTATACATAAAAACATCGCTTTTTAAATCTACAGGCTTAAGAAAAAACTCAAAATATAATTTAATGAAACTGTGGTTATTAAAATAGAAATATGTATTATTGATCCATGTTTGATTTGAAATTTATGACTTGTAAGTTGCAAGGCTTTTTGGTTTGATGTTGCAAAAGGAAGAAAAGTTAGGTAAAGATACAGTTGGGTTTTTCAATCCTAAATTACCCCCAATAGATTCGATTTGCTCTGGACGCATTGCAAAACCTCAAAAAATGATTGAGGATAAAAATAGACTCTGAAATCCCCAAATATCATAATTTCTTTAAGAACTCTTCATTTCCCACAGTAGAGGCTCAGCCCCTGATTGCCTCAATGTCTTACAAAAGTCCTGGCTGCTTCGCCTTTATTCATCTGAGACATTAATTTGGATACAGCCCTTTTCTTTTGACCTTCTTCTTCTTTTGAGAAGACTCTCTTGTCTTCACCTTAATGCCCAAACCCCAGCTGGATGATTCCAAGTCATCTTCTGGAATTTTGTTGGTGGGAGGAGGCTGTCTTCTCTTTTAAGACTGCATTTTAGCCCACTGCAGAGTGGAATTCTGCTCAGTCTGGATTGTTCCCATAGTCCAAAGGTTTACATATAAAACTCTGATAGTGCTGCCTGCCCTGTTTTCCCTGAGTATTGATTGCCCTTTGCCTGAGCTCTCTCCATAATGATAGGGTCCTCTGAGGTGCATGCTCTCAGACCTTTTGTTAAAAATCACAAAAGAAAAGCAGCAAGATTCCTCCATTTGAAACTCAAATCGGTCCAAAATGTTCTAGAAGACAACTCTGCACCCAGTTGTTCAGTCTAGAAAACATTTTTACTGTGTATGGAAGAGAGAATAGAAATAAGGGTAGGCAAAAGAGCAGCACATCTTGTCTGATTTCTGTGATTCTGTTCATATCCCTGAGCCTCACACTTTAGTATCTATTAAGACTTGCTGTGCACTGAGATCTTCTCCAGGTTAGGTTCTTGGAAAACTTTACACAGACAGACCTGTTAGAGTGCCCAGTACTCCTGAAGTACTTATAAAGGACAATAAAAGGCAGCCAACATCTTTCATATTCTTTAATGTGACCCAGTGGAGTTAATGAGAAAAAAAAATGGCTAATGATTCATCCTGAGTCTGTGTTGCAGCCAAATCAGTTAATTCCTAGAAATGCCCCAAGTGGGAATATGTCTCCCCCAGCCCTGCTCAAAGCAATCCACCATACTATAGAGATAACGTTAATTAAAATGCTGACAATTCTCCTTGGGTATGACAGAGAGATGAAAATAATGAAAAATACACACAGATCCAATTACGGCTTGCCGTATCTATAGCCTCAGCCTTTCAGAAACGCAAAACATTTATTCTCAGACCTCTCCATTCACAGCACTGAATGCTCATTTATGTCCCTGGAACCTAGCTCCATGCTATACAATAGAAGCCTAATAAGTGTAAAGCTGACATATATGGAAAGATGTTCTGTCTCTTTTCCTTCATATTCCCTCTGACTGTAGCCCAGATGTGTGCTCTTTCAAGGTATCTCAGAAAACATGAAAGACGACTGTATTTCCCCCTCAAAAATTGTCTGAGGAGCAAAAGAGCTGTAAAGCGAGAACCTATTTGCTGTAACCACATTTCTACAATAGCTACCAATGGGAAACTAAGGAAAATATCTGAAGACTTAAGGCATAAAATGCCACCAACTCACAAGTTACTTAACAGATATTTGCCTTTTACTCTCACTTTTGTCTTAGCATTCTTCTTCCTATACCAGAATATATTCTGGCACAATAAACCCCATGCCCATCTATCTATATGGTAAAGTTAGGGTCTCATAACATTTGATATTCTGAGTGAATTTGATTCAAGACCTAGATGACACTGGCTCTTTGGAAAGAGAAGTAGTTTTTCATCCAACACTCCTGGCTAGCAAATCTCTTTGGGATATTGTTATACCTAGAAGCATAACTAATTTGTTGTTGATTATTAATATTTAATATTGAACACTGAACTGCCATAGGCTACCTCCATGCAGGGGTTCCAGGCCATCTCCATGAGTGGTCCTTGGCTGGAGTATCAGTTTCAGAAAAGACCCCTGTGCCCAGACTTTTTGGATCTGTTGCTGTCCTAGTGGAGCTCCTGTCCTCTCCAGGTCTTAGTATCTCCCCCTTCTTTCATAACATTCCCTGCACTCTGCCCAAAGTTTGACTATGAGTCTCAGCATCTGCCTCAATACCCTGCAGGGTAGAGCCTTTCAGAGGCCCTCTGTGGTAGTAATGGGGACAGGGACTGTCTCTGACATGAACTGATTGGCCTGCTCTTTGATCACCTCTCCCTGAGGGAGGAGCAGCCTTACCAGGCCACAGAAGAAGACATACAGCCACTCGTGAGGAGACTTGATAGACTAGGATAAGAGGGAAGGGGAAGAGGACCTCCCTCATCAGTGGACTGGGAGAGGGACATGGGTGGGAAAGAGGGAGTGTGGGTTTGGGAGGGGAGGAAGGAGGGAGGTACAGGAGGGATACAAAGTGAATAAACTGTAATTAATAAAAATAAATAATAAAAAATATTTAATATTGATTTATCTTTTAGTTAAACATTGGTTATTCCTAAACCAGCTGTATACCCAAATCACCACACAGAGACTAGAATTTGTTTAACCTAGAGCACAATGCTGGGCATTAGTTACTCCATCCTAAACCTTCAAGCCTGCATAGTTTCCTCCCATTCAGATTTCCCACATTATTCTTGCTTTTAGTCATATCTTAGGTCTGGTTCATTTCTCCTCGTGGTTTCAAGTCCTCTCCTACTAATCTCTCCTCTCTGACCTCTCCTTCATTTCTTTCTCCTGTCCTCAGGACCAAGATGTCCCAACCTATTCTCTCCATTGCTTAGCATTGGCTGGTCTTTTTATTGAAAATACAGAGAACAAACGGTGGCATGTTTACCCAAACTTGAGACAGGTGATGCTTAGAATAAACATCACAATGCAATGTCATGATTGAAACCAGATAGTGGGGTAGAGAAATCAGCATTTGAATCAACAAGGGTAAATTGTATACATTCCAAAAGGACATTGTACCAACACTACTTACACCACACACATTTTCTGTTGCACTCAAGATATTAAAAAATACTGCATTTTACTAGAGATTCTTTATCAGATGTTCAAGACAAATAGAATTCCACTTCCATGTATTTAAAAACTATTTGCACACTGCCCACTATTTCTAAGACTATTTGTGAGCATCCAGAAGCTACTATAAATGTAGTAGGATAACTGCTGAAGGTAAATTTTTGTTCAAACAGTGTTGTGGTCAAAGACTATCTCTGTAAATGCATATTCTTTTCCATGAAAGAGCAAAGGATGTTTGATATTTTAAACAACTCAAAGATAGTATTCTAAGCCTAGTAATACATCTTCACTCTCTACTCCTGTGTTCTCTTCCAGTGTGTGTTTCCAATGGAAAGACCTATTCTCATGGAGAGTCCTGGCACCCAAATCTACGAGCATTTGGCATTGTGGAATGTGTACTATGCACTTGTAATGTCACCAAGCAAGAGTGTAAGAAAATCCACTGCCCCAATCGATACCCCTGCAAGTATCCTCAAAAAATAGATGGAAAGTGCTGCAAGGTGTGTCCTGGTAAAAAAGCAAAAGGTGCATTGGCTGGAGGACCTGCCTTTGGTTGAATGAGAGCCACACATAGTCCTGTTCAGTCTTCTTTGTGCATCAAAAACATAAATGATCAATCATATATTTCTAATAATAATAGTTCTAGCATGACTGAACTTCATCCTTTTCTCTTCTGAGAGACAGATGGTTGCTTTGAAGGAATTAACTACTCACAAATATCCTGGGGAGTTTCTTGTGTCTACAAACTCATACACATGTCAAATTGCTTAACTTGTTCTTGCTTTGCTGAATTAGATAGTTTATGTTATCACTGTTTTAGGAAAACACTCAAACCTTTCACATTTTAAATCACTAGCTCACTTCAAGCCATAATCCAGTACTCATTTCAGATGAGAGATGCATGAGTTACAGTGGAGGGAAATTAGGTTCTGATTCAAATTTCAGGTCATTGTATGACCTTGAAAATACACCAGACCCATATTATCTGAGCCTCATCAGCCTTATGTGAAAAATTAAAGCAGTTTATCACTGTGCTCCATTTTTATATTTTAATCATTTTGACACATAGTATCTGTCTATATTTATGGGATTCAGCTTGTTAATTCAAGACATATATACAATTTGTAATTATCAAATCAATGTAATTCTCATTCTATCTCCTCTAATATTTATCCCTAGACTCTTCTAGGGACTCTTCATTTTGAAATTTATCATATTTTTTGATATGGTAACCCTACAGTGCTATAGAAAATAGAAATAATTCATTCTAATGGTGTTTTAGTATCTATTATTCAAGGGGTCTATCACCCCTTCACTATATTCCAACACTAAAATCTTATATTATTTCTCAATTAATAACAAGATAATGAAGTGTATAAACTGACTTTCCCAGAGCTATGTAACTGATTGATAGTACAATCAAGACATCAAACCCAGGTCACTTCTAGCCCATGTCTTTCTAATTGAACATATTCCTGAACTTTTCTAAAGGAAAATTATTCAAATGATGGTTTTAAAGACACAAACTAGATTAAAATGTCACCTATAATATTGGCATTATAACTTTGGCTTGCTACAGTTTTCCTGTGTGGTCTAAAACAAACCTGTTCAACTTTGTGAGGCCCAATTTCTTTTTCTTCAAAATGAGATGGTTAAAGCAAGTGACTTCCTATAGCTACCACCACCACCACCCCAATCCCAGAATTCCACTATCAGTGAGTTAGCCATTCCCACACACATGACTTCATTATTTCTTTGGCCTCCTGAAAATAATTTATGTAAACCCAAGTGAAAAACATATACCTTTTATAATGGAGATGGATAGATCATTTACTCCTTACATTAAAGAGTTGCTCTTGCCTAGCAGGCAAACATGCATTTGCTGTAAATACATGAGCATCTTCATGTGATTCAAGGATTCCTGAAATTGGCTGTACACTGGAATACCTATGGGGTTTCTAAAAGTCCCCTTGTCCCATCTCCAGAGATTGTGACCTCATTGATTAGTATTGTGGCATGGGCTTTGAACTCTTTCTAAGAGTCTCAAACTCCTTTGATGTGCAGAAATGTTTTAGAACAATTACTGCATGTTCACAGTGGTTCACGGTCCTTAGAAGTGGTTCATGTGGTTGGTGGACCAACAGTACCGGACCTAAGTATAAATGCTGACTCTGAGGCCTCCACCTGCTCTGCATCTTCAGTTAAGATACTCAAGTGATTCTACTTGAAGTATATTAAAAATTGAGAAGTAAATCATCACTTAAATTATTACTTATCAAGAACAAAGCATATTCTAGTAATGATAAGAATATTAGGTTCACTCAAACATGATGACTTATTGTCACTGTATTTGATCCACAAATCTTTATGTCAGTTATAATCCCCCAATACATTTTTCTCTTAGGCCAAAGATCTAACATTTACATTTAGACAATAATCTTAGGCAAAACCCAATAATTACCTAAATACTGAAAATAAGCTTTTCCAAATTGATTTCTTTATTTTTAGACAAAATCTCATTTCACACTGTGCTTAGAATTTTATTAATATGGGTGATTCAAAATAAAAGGAGAAAATGGGACACAGAACATTCAGTACTTTAAGAAATAATTTCCCTCTCAGGTTGACAGTGTTTTACGAACATCTGGACAAGCAACTCCACCTCTGGATTTATTCTAAGAAAGAAAATTGAGACACATAAAGGTTTAGAAGCCAGGACTTTTGGTGCAGGGTTATTTACAATAGTGAAAAATGGACATTAATCAGAAAATTCACTCATAAGGGAATGGCTAAATTATGATATAACTGTGTTGTGGAATATTGTGCAGACATTAAAATTGTTGTAGACCAAGACTACTGGCATGGAAATACTAAGTTTAAAATCAAGCTACAAAAATATGTGAATTATTCTTAATTTTTGTGTTTAAGGAAGAGTTTGTGTGTGCTTAGATTTTTTGAAGCCTGAAGGGACTATGACAGAATGTTTACAGAGATCATCTTTGGATAACTGACTTATTAAGTATTCCTATTTTCTTCTTTCACTTGTATTTTTTAAACTTTCAATAATAAGCATGCATTACTGTCATCATTTGAAAACATAATAAAAGCTGTTTTTAAAATCACCCTACAGAATCCCAGTTGTCATTATATTGAATAATTTGACTGAATGAATGACTTTCCCTGCTGAGCTATTTTTACTGTTTATCATCCTAATCAGTTATGTTGAGGTAGCATATTCATCACGCATCATGGAAAGAGAGAGTTTCAATTTCATTCTATAACTTTTCTCCCTCTGAGCCAGGGCTGGGTGTGTGAATTTTAAATCAGTCATAGGGACCATATTGCCCAGGAGTCACCGTGGGTTATATTGCCCAAGAATCACAGTCTGCATGGCCAGGGAACCTGTTACAGATATTCAGCACCTGTTAAGGAGCGTGTCCTGCATTCAACCTAAAAATGCATATTAAGTACCTGCTGCATGCAAACACAGACACTGAAGAATGAGAGATGAACTACATAGTCAAAGGTTACTTCCTTGTTATTGCATTGTAGTGGAGAAGAAACACAATGAACCCAAGAACATGATTTTTGCATGTGATGGGGACTGCGAAGGGAAACAGAAAAAGATCAGAAGACTGTTAATGATGCAGGAAACATTTTCAAGACTGTAGTCAGTGAAGGCTTCTTTGAAAATGGAAAAGCATACCATTAGTGGCATATTAAAACAATGGCTTATGATCTACAGGAAAACAGAGAAAGCAGTGAAAGAAAAAAATAAATATTTTAAAAATATTAATTAATTTATTAGGGGAGAATAAATAAAGTTTACTGGTGACCAAGCCTAAAGTTTTATTATAACAAATGATAGCAGGCTCCCTCAGTAACAAACACAGGTCAAGATAAAGGATGCAGGTTCTGCCTCTCTCTCTTCTTACTACTCTGCTAGAGGCTAGCCTTCCCTTTCACGTCATTATCCACCTACTGGATTGACTAAGACACACACCTCTTACAAGTTTCCCAACTCACCTCTCATACCCCTGGTACTGCCCTAATACTTGGAATTCCTTACACACTTCTTTTAGATTTGATCATTAAATGTTCCTGTTATGATGTAAGGGGTTTCCTGAGCTAAGATAACATATCTTTATCTGTCATTACCACCTTCCAAAGTAATTGTATCTAAGTTTCTAAGTTCTAGAAGGCACAACATAGTGTTCTCATGGGAATGGACATGGCCAGAAATGATTTCCGTTGTGGCACAGTTCACTGAAAGTAGACGAGCACGGAGGCAAGGTGCCTTGAGACAGAATTTGTGAAAAGTACAAGATGTTATTGAATACATCTTTCTAAGAACAAAATTTGGCTCTTTTGCTGTCTTTCAGTTTTAATTAGACTGAGTCACTAATGGGGTTTTGTTGTTATGGCTTTCTTCAGTTGGGTAAGTCCATATCTTAGGAGGAGTTGGTGTTTCTGAATAAGTCTTTGGAATACTGAGAATACTTCGAGCCCAAGTACTTTATGGCATCATGGTTGGTTTTCATTGGTCAGTTACATTCACAGCCAACATTAAGTTGGTGAGCAAAGTTTAACAGATAGACTCATATCTCTTTGTCAGTGACAACTGAATTACTAGAAATGTCTGTACACTCCATGACCTCCTTCTTCCTGTTTGAAAACTGTGAGCACACAGCCACAACCCTTGTGTAACATAACCAAAAATGACTGGCTTGCCAAGTAGTCAAATGGCTAAAAAGAAAAAGGCAGAAAGGAAGCTTGATTCTAAGGATAACCACAAAATAAGTGATCCAAGTTGGAAATGTCAAGAGATGATGGTGGTTTTGTCCTCACAGTGACCATTGGTGGGGTGGGGGGAGGAGCAGAAGTAGAGAGGAAACTAAATCAGGTCTAAAAGAGACATGCAATAACAATTTCATTACAATGTCCAGTCCAATATGTCTGATAGGACAAGAGTGAGTGAGTAGAAGCCACAGATCCCCCAAACATTTTACCCTTGTTGCTTTTATTCCCTAGAGTTCAGATACTCTTACAAATGGCTTCTGCACAGTCTCGAGATTTTCAGTGTATGTAAGTCTTCTGGTCTTGGTTCCTTATTTGAGTTATACATTTTGAATACATACCTGAAGAGGGCGCTGATTACAAAGCTAGCAAAAGAACAACACACCAATAATCAATCAGGGGAACTTACTTTTTGGTATGGGGCCTGGGCAAAGGGAAATGTGGAATGAAATTCCAAGTATTATGGGGCTGGTACCTTTCTTTATTCCTGGGATCTGAAGTTCAACAGTTTTTTATACACAGGAAATGATCCACAGACGGTGGGTCTGACCAATTTTTTTGTGTATCTCCTAACTGTTCGTTTGGCATAGCATCCACATGACTAATCTGACATCTAGATTTTGGCACTGGTGCTGATCCGGTATTATCATTCCTCTTACAAACAAATCAAAGAGCATTCACAAATGTCAAGCCAATTTGGATGGATCTCTTGGGCAAGTATATACACATAAATGACTGCCATGAGTGTTTTCTAAGTATACCAAAATGATGTCAGAAAAGCTAACCAAAGCCCTCTGTCAGCCTATTTCCTGGGCCTCTCTTAGGAACATGGGGCTGGACAGAACATGATTATACCCTAGTATGGAAAATTTAATGTTCATTTAAGTACCTAAGAGTATTACACCTGGCTATCCTCTTCCTCTTCGTTGAAGCTCATTTCTCAGTGACTGTCTTAGGGATATCCGGCTCAGTGTGTGGATGTCCCCTACACAGCCACAGATACTGTCATCGCATAGACTCATGAGAGGTTGGATGTGTCAGAGATGAGTTACTAAGGTAAATCTGGAAACTTTCTCAAAAGTGTCAACGGTTATAAATAGTTAGATGGCTAAATACAGAAGTTCACTTCTAGTTTTGTTTTGTTTTGTTTTTAAATGCCAAAACTAAACTTGCTTCCTGGTTCCAGAAGAACCTCCAAGTCAAAACTTTACTTTTGTGGAGGTTACTTTTGTGGAGAAGAAACCATGCTTATATATGAATCTGTGCTCATGGAGGATGAAGAGACAATCAGAACAATAGCACTGGAGACAGAAATACCACCTGAAGTAGAGGTCCACATTTGAACTATTCGAAAGGGTGAGCAAAACGGTCTCTGCCTTCCCCATCCAGCAAAAATAACCTAGAACCCCTGCACAGATGTGCCCATGGCAGTTTAGTGTCCAAGTGGGTTACATAGTAATGGGAAGAGGGACTGCCTCTGACATAATCTGATTGGCCTGCTCTTCGATCACCTCACCCTGAGGGGGAAGCAGCCTTACAAGGCCACAGTAGAAGACAATGCAGCCACTTTTGATGAGAACTGATAGACTAAGATCAGAAAGGAGAGGAGAACCTCCCCTATCAGTGGACTTGGGGAGTGGCATGCATGCAGAAAGGGAGGGGGGGTGGGATCGGGAGGGGAGGAGAGAGGGGCTTATGGGGGGATACAAAATGAATAAAGTGTAATTAATAAAAAAATTTTTAAAAGTGCTTTTTTTTTAAACCACAGCACAATAAATAGTTTTGTTAAATTGTTTTTATAAATGTGTTTACTTTTCATTTTCTGTATTAAATCTAAATGTTATAATAAACATAAAAAACACGGGGACAAAAAGAAGTTTATGGTCTTGGGCTCTCTAGAGTTTTGTGACAAGCCTGAGAATTTCAGTTCCATACATGGAACCAACAGAGTGGAACTGAATCCTACAAGTAAACTGTCCTTTAATCCTCACATATGCGATATGATGTTCAAGTGTGTGTATATGCATGTACACACACACACACACACACACACACACACTGAAAAGATTATAGTCTCACACGAAACAATCCTGTTATGATATTCAGTTGATTTTCTGATTCCTCACAGCAGGCACCACAAAATGCAGTGTTCTATTCAGTACTCAATGTGTTCCTGCATCTATCTATCCATAACACCATGCTGTAGAGACAAGACTAGTGGTGATCTAGGTTGGTCAAGGTCTCCAGGAATCCAAGTGTCGGGATAAGGATTTCACTTGGACAATAAGATACATCCATTTGAACTTACCTCCTGTCCAAGGCTCAAGAGTGTCTGCATTGCCAGGTATGGTGGCACATGCCTTTTGTCTTAGCACTCGAGAGGCAGAGGCAGTTGGATCACTGTGAGTTCAAGGACAGCCTGATATACATAGTTCTAAATCATCAAGAGCTACACAGTGAGCCTCTGTCTCAAATCAGCAACAAAAATAACCAGTGTTCTAACAGTGCATGTGTTTTAGCATCATGCATAAAGTTGTACTAATGTGCTGCTAGCTAGTCCTACTCCAGAGATGAAAGTTTAGTAGGTCGTGGATGTGTTATAAACATTTCTTGATTTAGGTAGAACCTTGTGATGCTAATGCAAGTGGTACTTGGATCGCACTTTATGAAATACTTCTGTAGTGTTTACTGTATCTTTTCTCTTTCCTTTTCTCCAACAACCTTGCTTTTTCTAAAGAATGCCTGCCTCATCCTACCCACTAGAAAGTGGGCTAGATTGCATATATGCATTGCTTTTCAACCTCTCCCACCCCCACCCCCCTTTGGCTTTATATCTAGAGAAGCCTGCAGGAATTGTGACTATTTCCCAAAGGGGAAAAATATTCTTCAGGGAAGAGGGTAGCTTCTCCATTTACACAAATAATATGCCTGCAGTTCTACCACTGGCTTTCATTGTTTAGCCAGGAGGGCAGCCTAGTGGTTTGGCAGAACTAGTTTACCCGGATTATGGCCAAAGGCAGAATTTCTAATAGTGCCTCTGGCTACAGAAGCTCCAACTAGTGCTTATGCTTTTCTTAGGGAGGGGTCCCATGGTGAGAAGTACTACCTTCCATCTCCCCAGTCCCTAGAGAAGCTAAAGAGAAGCCAGTGAGCCAAGGAAACAAATGGAGTCAATTAAAGTCCCTGAGCCATCCAAGTTCCTACTTAAGTACATTACACAGCACAGCTCAATACTCCTAAATCCCAGTAATGAGATTATATGCTCAGCTTGTGCAGAAAAGGGGGTCTGTGATTCCAGAAAGAAATAGAAAATATTTCATCACCTGTTACACTTGTGCTTCACCCTAGGTATTCTCCAGCACTTCCATATTGAGAAAATCTCCAAGAGGATATTTGGGGAGCTCCATCATTTCAAGCTGGTGACTCGGACCACCTTGAGTAAGTGGTACCCTCTTTTCCTCTTTGCTGGAAATCAGCTCTAACTTTTAAATGCATCATAGCCACTCATGAAGTCCCTCTGTGCTCTCAGTGAACATAAAGAATGCTCAGTGTCAACAATGGGGGTGGGGGTCTTTTGGAGGACCAAGCAGCAAATAGGTTGTCTGACTGCAAACTGAGAAAATTTATGCATGATGAATACAAATTGTGATATAGTCTACATACAAGCTTGTTCAGGTCAAGGATGCCTTGATAATGACTTAAATGTCTCTAATGAAACTAATAAACTTAGGGTTGAAAGACACTTCAGAATATTTCAGGTGTGGTGTCACTGTGGAGTCTTTGTATCTAGAAGGCTCTGTTCTCTGGGAATGAGGAAGAGAGAGAGAGAGAGAGAGAGAGAGAGAGAGAGAGAGAGAGATAAGGAATACCTACCAATTCTGTTATAGCAAAGCTCTCTGACTCTTTTAGAGCTACCACTAGGTGCTCATGTTTCTTTAAAAGCATCCAGGCATTCATGCAGACTTGCAGCTCTCCCTCTTTCTACACTAGATGGAGCTTAGGGACTAGATACTGCAGGGCACTGGGGAGGGGATGGCTGGGGAGCAATTCTTTTTTTTTTTCTTGTTTTTTTTTTTTTTTAAGTATGATATATTTATTTATTTTTCGAAACAGTGATTTTATCTTTCTTGAGTTAGAGACAGGTATATATGTACTTCATTGCCAGATACATTCAGGTACACTTTATTTTATTTTATATTTTTTACATTATCCTTTTTTAAATTTTCATTTTTATATTAATTACAGTATCCCAGCTGTCTCCCTCTCCTTCATTCCCTCTCAATCCCACCCTCCCTCACCTCCTCCCATGAACCTCTCCAAGTCCACTAATAGGGTAGGTTTTCCTCCCTTTCTGACCCTAGCCTATCAGGTCTCATCAGGACTGGCTGCACTGTCTTGCTCTATGTCAAGTAAATTTTATAAAGTAGCTGCTATACTTGCCAGGGCACTTCAGATTTAGCAAGTAACAAAATGAAACAGAAGCTTTCCTCTTTTACTTGTTTTGAGTTTAAATTTTTTAATTAAATTTATTTTTTACATTAATTACATATTATTCACTTTGAATCCCAGCTATTGCCCCCTCCCTCATTCTCTCCCAATCCCACTATCCTTCCCTCATCTCCTCCCAGGCCCCTCTGGAAGTCCACTGATAGGGAGGCCCTCCTCCTCTTTCATTTGAATCTAGCTTATCAGGTCTCCTCAGGACTATCTGCAATGTCCTCCTCTCTGGTCTGGCAAGGCTGTATCACCCAGGGGGAGGTGATCAAAGAGCCCGCCACTGAGTTCCTATCAGAGACAGTCCCTGTTCCCCTTACTAGAGAACCTGCTTGGATACTGAGCTGCCATGGGGTACAACTGAGCAGGAGTTCTAGGTTGTAACCATGAATGGACCTTGGTTGGAGTAATCAGTCTCAAAAAAAAGACACCTGTGCCCAGATATTTTGGTTCTGTTGCTCTCCTTGTGAAGCTTCAGTCCTCTCCAGGTCTTACTAACTCCCCCTTCTTTCATATGATTCCCTGCACACTGCCCAAAGTTTGGTTATGAGTTTCAGCACATGAGACAAGTTCCTAAAGAGAACACCAACAGCACAGGCTTTAAGATCAACAATAGATAAATGGGACCTCATGAAAATGAAAAGCTTCTTTAAAGCAAAGAACACTATCATCAGAACAAACCATAGCCTACAGACTGGGAAAGGATCTTCCAACCCTATATCTGACAGAGGGCTAATATCCAGACTATATAAAGAACTAAAGAAGTTAAAAAGCAACAAATCAAGTAATCCAATTAAAAAATGGGGTACAGAGCTAAACAGAGAATTCTCTGTAGAGGGATAGAGAATGGCAGAGAAACACTTAAAGAAATGTTCAACGTCCTTAGCCTTCAGGGAGATGCAAATCAAAATGACCCTGAGATTTCACCTTACACCCATTAGAATGGCTAAGATCAAAAACTCAAGTGACAATACATGGTGGAGAGGTTGTGGGAAAAGGGGAACCCTCCTCCATTGCTGGTGGGAATGTAAACTTGTACATCCACTCTGGAAATCAATCTGGCATTTTCTTAGACAATTGGGAATAGTGCTTCCTCAAGATCCAGCTATGGCACTCCTAGGCATATATCCAAAAGATGGTCAAGTACACAACAAGGACGTTTGCTCAACCATGTTTATAGCAGCTTTATTAGTAATAGCAAGAACCTGGAAACAGCCCAGATGTCTCTCAATGGAGGAATAGATACAGAAATTGTGTTACATTTACACAATGAAATACTACTCAGCAATTAAAAACAAAGGATATTTGCAGGCAAATGGTGGGATCTAGAAAAGATCATCCTGAGTGAGGTATCCCAGAAGCAGAAAGACACACATGGTATATACTCACTTATAAGTGGATACTAGACCTATAAGATAGGATAAACACACTAAAATCTGTGCAACTAAAGAAGCTAAACAAGAAGGAGGACCCTGGGTAAGATGATCAATCCTCACTTAGAAAGACAAATGTGATGAACATTGGAAGAAATAGAAAACAAGACACAGGACAGGAGCCTATTGCAGAGGGGCTCTGAAAGACTCTACCCAGCAGTGTATCAAGGCAGATGCTGGGGAGCACTTCTAAAGGAATAAAAGGCAACAGATTTCTCTCCACAGGGAATTTCTAATGGGCAAGACAGAACACGAACAGGCCTTCAGTGTGAATTAGAATAGCTGTGAGGAGTTAAATATCTAAGTGCTCAGGGGAACATGCAAAGACCAATGAGAGGAGAGCCAGGGGGCTTAGTTGAGGAAGGCTTTGGGGAGGAGGTGCTTTTTGAAAGGAAAGGGTGTGACTGGGCAACAGGTCAAGAAATCAGTCCAGGGAGAAGGTGCAGCCTAAGAGAAGGCTTGGGCAGGAGCAAACAAGAAATGTGGGTGGGGGTGAGGAATGATCAACAAGGCCATGTAGGGTGCAATGAAGATGAAAAGAGTTGGTATGAAGTAGTCAAAAAGGTCCTTGAAAATTGTACCTGCAAAGCAAGTAACCTTGGGAATTGCTACACAATCCAAGCAGCACAGTGATACCAACATGATGCTCTGGGCTTTGTAATAGATTTAACAAGCACCCACCTTGGTGAATCCAGAATATGAAGAGCCTTGTTTGATTTGCTAAATTAGATTTGACCTCCAGCCTTAAACACAGCAGTGGAGACTAGTAAGGTGGTGAATGGTGTATTCACACCTGGCTCTTAGAAAGAGGGACTTTCTGTGTGGCTTGGGGTGCAACACAAATGACAGAGCTGGTGAGAGTCTGAATTCGGAAATCCTCACACTACACTGTCTGTGAGACAAGGAAGGATAGGTCACCATAAAAGATATTTCTTCTAAGTCAACAGATATATGTCATGGGAGGCAGGAATTAGTTTGGAATGACTTTAATACTAATAACTTTATAGACTGAGTGAATAGTATTGCCATTCAGCAAAGAAAAGCTGAAGAATAAGCATGTATTAGTGAAAAAAGGACAACTGCTTGGAATGTATTTTGATTAGGATGCCCGGGAACCATCTAGAATTGGGGTTGCCAAGGTCTTCTGTATATCTTTGAAAAGATCAATAGAAAGTAAAATGAACAGTATTGGAATCTGAATAAAGGAGTTGGGAAATCCCTGCAGGAGAGTAAAGAATGAGGAAGACAGAGACAAGGGGCCAGGGATCATTGGTGCAACTTTCAAAATTACTTTTTTCACCATAGAACACAATTCAGTTTATGTTGTGAGCAAGACACTGTCTTAGGCTCCAGGGTCCTTTAAAGTTGATTTAGACATACCCTGTGCCCATGGTACTTAGGACTGGGAGCGGGTAATGAAAGTAGGAACTGTGTGTCCCAAGCATTGTACAGCTGAAGGAAAGTGGTAGTGAAACAGTCAAAGAAATAAGTCTAGCACCTTCACATAATGTGCCTCGATAATCTGACACATCATAGGGCTTTGATAAATGTTGTCCCCTTCTTTTTTTCCTTTTGGTTTCCTACTTGAGGCATAAAGGATAGAGGAAAATGAGGAATTCAAGGGATGAAGAATAAGGGAGATCAATTCTCAATGGAATGGCATTGTGTTCTCATGTGAGTAAGGAAAGCAGCAGGTCTAGGGTAAAAAGGGGTTTCCTGACTTTGGGCTCAGAGTTCCCCAGATTTCAGCACTATAAAGATAAGAGTTAAAAGATAAGTGAGAGGCCGTTGAGAATCAACAGGCAATAGAAGTGATACAGCTAAGTTAAGAGAGTAGAAATGGCTGTGTCAGTATTAAAGTAGAACACTATAAACAGCCATAGGGTAGCGTTTCGCAGTACCAATGATGCCTAAGTAAAACATGTGGTTATAGGGGAAAATAAATATGTGCAGTTGTTGACAAAGGAGGAAAGGAATGGGGAAAATGATGATAAGTCATCAGGTAACCCAGACTATCACATGCGGCCCAAAGAAAGCTAGCTGTGATCCTGCAGTGCAGTAGCTATTGCTGTCCACAGGCAATGTTTTTAACTTGGTGCCAAATGTGCCACCTAGAGCAAACCAGCAGACTGCGAAGGGTTTTTCTCAAATTCGAACTACACTGTAAAAATTCTAAACACTTAGGGTGGAACTGGTTCAGTGGTTTAGAGGGTATACTACTCTTCCGGAAGAGTGGAGTTCTGTTCCCAGTATCCACATCAGGGTAGTCCACAACTTCCTCTAACTTCAACTCCAGGAGGGTCTGATACTACTGAACACCACTGGCACCTGTACTCACATGCACATATCATCCCCACCCCACAAACACACTATTTAAAATCAAATAGATCTATTAATAAAAATTTTCTAAACATAGTCCTTAGGATTTATTCTTTGGAGAACAGTTACATCTCATTTGGGGGATTTCTCAACTGCTATGTATTGAAGTAAAAACTCCATGTCTTATTTTCTCTCTCTTTCCCAAGAAACGTATTTGTGTGTGTGGGGGGTGCTTTTTTTGCTGAAACTACCCTACATTCATATTTAAAATGCGCTGAGGTCTAAAAAGATGTGTGAAAGAATGAAGTATATTCCTAATGAGTTGTATTCCTAATTAGTTCAGCTCTAATCTTACATAATCCTGACCATTCTGTATTTGCATTGTAGACCGGTAGAAGATCTTCACTGTAGAAGAAGTGCAGCTCAGTCACATGTGTTTAAGTCGGATGTACAGAACAGAACTGGAAGATTTGGTTCAGGTTTGTACCTGGAGAGACCTGAAAAGGGCCACTGTAGACAAAACAGCCAGGACTGGATAATATCAATCAAAGAAACTCAAGTTGCAGCTGGACTGCCAGCTTGCTTTGCTTAACTCAACAGTGCTCTAAATTCCCAAAGTCAAACTCAGTCAAATTATCCACACCAGCCATAGCATTCCTTGTTCTTCTATGTGTATTGGTATGCCAGCCCTTTACCATCTCCTCTCTGGAGAGAGAAGGGATAGAACATTGTGGTGCACCTCTAGTTTCTTTGAGAATCACTTTTATTTGCAGGTTAAGACAAAATAACCCTTGTAGAGATTCAATGGAGAAAATTAGTCACATGAAAAAGAAATTGCTTAGTTTGAGTTGGGTCACACAGAGCAATAATTTGTATGAAATACTTTTGGAAAGACCAAGTGTCTCTCATTCTTTAAAAAAATTATTCAGTGGGTGGAGATACAGATCAAGCCATTATAGAGCACATACCTATCTTCTACAGAGTCCTGGATTCTATTCTCAAGACTGAAAAAATTTGCATCCTCATATTTCATATACACATATATGAAAACAGACATATACACTACACATGGAATTGCCCTTCTTTCTGACTCGTAAATATTTTTGAGGTGGTTGGCACCCAGGAAGACAAGTTTAAAATGTATGCAGAAAACTCTGCCCTCAAGCCTTTAAGGCACTTTTTTAAAGTAACCAAGCATGGTGGTAGGGTGAAGAATGCCATTTGTGGGTCTTGTTCACTTTGAAGTGCTAAATTCTCTTTCCTTACTTGCATTCCTAACGGAGCATCCATTAGGAAGATAGAATTTGGTGAAATCACCACAAAGTAAATGTATACAAAATAAAATAACTGCAGAATACACATGATTAAAAAGAAATAGTCCATCTTTTTGTTTTGTTTTCACAGTTATAAAGCTCACTGTTAATAAGCTGATGCTCACTCATGTTCATGATATGATAGTAACCTAAAAAGACACTCGAGGGTTTTTAAAGGGCAATATTCTCTTTCTGATTACAAGAATCAAGACTGACTTTATAAAGAGACTCAGTTTTTATGAGCATCTGAACATTGGTTTTTCTGTTAAGGGTTACTATTCATTCAGGGAGCTGAGATTCCTGGCAAAGACCTTTCTCCTAACTCTTCCTACTATTCTTGCCTTCTCCATGAACATGGGTTGGTTGCATCAGGGATTTTAGACAAGGCTGCTCCTGAAATGTCTATTTGCAGCCCAATGCCACAGCATAAATTATCCTTTCTGAGGCTTGGCTTTAGAAATTATCTTTGTGGAAGAAACTATAAATACTTCCTAGCAAGAATCATAGGCTTGCTTTCTGGATCTGTCCCCTCTGAAGAGCATGAATGAGCTCAAATGAGTACTGAGAAATACAAATATCTAGAAATCCTGTATTTCCCATTCTAAGTGAAAGCACATGATGGGAAAAAGTGTGAAGAGTTTGGTCTTTATTGGAACCTGCAATAAAAAAAGACAGAAGTCTTTGAGGCCAGGGCTTCATGAGGCAAACTTCTTGACATCCAGTCACACACATGCGCCTCAGAACACCCTCGGCCACAAAGCCACAGAACACTTTTGGACATGTGGTGAGGCAGTGTCAGTCCACTGCTGCTTCCAAAGTGTGGAGATCAGTAACCAGATGTTGAAGGAAAGTGGTGACTCCCCTGCTAGGTGATTTCACTCAAAAACCTTCCCACCCACATGTTCTCTGAAAGCTTAGCCTTCAGGGAACACCTAAAGAGCTCCCCTAGATAGACTTCTGCCTTCAGGTGCAAGAACACAGCTTTCTAAAGTGTTTGGTAAGCAGGAACTGGGGAGCTGTGATGAGTCAATGTAGAAAATCTCCAGTGTTTGGGTGTTGGGTAGAGTATAGAGTATAGGGGAAAGAGGCCAAACTGCCTGTAGTTAGTATAAAGGAATGCTTGTGGTTCTTTTTGTGTGTTTATTTGTATCATAAACACTTGGAACAGGGAAGACCATAAGCACTGTTTTGCAGTTTTATCCACTTTCTAGTTAGCTCATGTAAACAAGTAGGAGTTACATAACAGTATTACAGTTTTACTCTTCTCATAGGACATGTACCCAATTATGATACTTATTTATGTAATCACTGTGTTTTCAGATCATTAAATTAATAAAATTTTAATTTAAAAAGATTATGTACTAGATTGTCATATAATTGACACTCTGGGCAAGATTGTCATTCAATTGGGTAAAATATGATGGGTGGCCCTAGTGGTTTCACAGTCAACTTGACATTCTTGTCATACTACTCCTGAGTAGTTAGTGGTTTTAACTTAGCAGCAAAGCTGCCTAGACTCTTAACCCAGCTCTGCAATTACTAGATTTGTCATTCTTTCCAATTAAAAAACAGGATAATTATGATACTATCTCTCTTTGCCTGAAATCTTTCAGTAAGCCTTAAATGTAGTCAGTACATATAAAAATGACTGTAGTGTCTAATATCCATTGAGTATTTATTAATGACCATGGACATTCAAGGAGGGGAGGGCTTAGAATGACCATTGATGTTTTACTTTCCCTTTGACCACTGACTTAGATTTCAAGAGGACCTCAATTTTGACTGTGCTGTTCACAACACTTCCATGCAAAGTTGCTTAGGAATCAGTATAAGAATGTCATTACACATGTAAATCCAAATCAAATGCCCTCAAATTCTCAATGCTAGCTAAATATAGGCTATTCAGAAGTCAGATTGTGAAAAAGCTTTAAGAGGGAAGTTCAAAGTGTTCGTAACTGATGAGATGTCAAGTGATATGATAGAAACTATGTACTTATGTTAACATGGGGGAAAAGAAGTGTTGATGTCAGTGGAGCACAGGCCTGGTTGGGATGGATGATAGGTGGATGATAGAAGGAAAGTGGAGGGGTGGTGTGAGGAAATTGAAGTAGAAGTATAATATAACTCACTGGAGAAGTCTCTAGTAGAGTGAGAACAAAACATGATAAAGGAAGAAAATGGGATCAATGCCATTTTATCTTAAATATGGAAGACTTTTGTCCCTATTGTAACACAGAGGGGAGAGCAACCATAGAAAGAAAAGGTTAATGATCATGGGTAATGAATGCTGACCATTTTCACCAAGGTCCACCTAGTTCCATCATATTTCTATTACCTCACTTTCATTATCCTCTTTTTCCTTTCTTCTGAAATGATATGCTATGTATCAAAATATTGTCTGACATCTTTTGAGCAAAGTACAAATAAGTCAAATTACACCTCTGTGGCTCCATCTTGTTTTATTTCCTGTCCCTCATTGATCAAACCCAAATTTCTCTCAGCCCTTCAAGTTTGTGTTCTTGTAATATAAAGAATGTTCTTAGGATTCTGTTGTCAACTTTTCTTGCAGGATCTTACTCTCTCCTACTCTTCCCACTACAAAATCCTCCGAAGCAGCAAGGACTGTTTCACATGGACTTGCAGGGAAAACCTGCCTGCTCGCACACATTGCCCACTTTATTCTTTTACTACTTTTACACTTTTTTTTTGAATTTTATTTTTTTCTTATCAGTTACATTTTATTAACTCTGTATCCCAGCCGTGTCCCGCTCCCTCATTCCCTCCCAATCCCACCCTCCCTCCCTCAATCTCCACCCTGCCCCTTTCCAAGTCCACTGATAGGGGGGGACCTCCTCCCCATTCATCTGATCCTGTTTTATCAGGTGTCTTCAGGACTGGCTGCAAAGCTCTCCTCTGTGGCCTAACAGGACTGCTCCTCCCTTGGGGGGTGGGGAGACCAAAGAGCCAGTCATTGAGTTCCTGTTAGAAATAGTCCTTGTTTTTTTTTTTTTTAAACAAAACACTTATTTGTATTTACCTTGTGTGTATGGATATTTTGTCCAGCATATATGTTTACATACCATGTAAATTCCTGATGCCTGTGAATAAAAGAAGATGTCAGCACCCCTGAAACAGCAGTTAGAGGTGATTGTGATCCTTTGTGTGGATTATTTGAATCAAACCCAGGTCCACTAGCAGAGATGAGGCCCTTGCTTTGACTCTTGAAGGAGATGAGAGTATAGCTCTCAAAACTATGCCACTTTGGCATGAGGATTACTTTGAGCTAAAGACAATTAAGAATCAATGGCTGCAGAAAAACGAGAACATGTTCTACTCAACCCATAACTGCCTAAAAGTAGGACACAAACTTTCTTTTGAGGGAGGTAACATTTCTCCCTTCCAAGAACAAAAGAGTGACTCATCCCTCAGAGTAAGAAATCAACAAGATGAATTTGCATAAATATAGAACTCATACTAAAATACCCTTCAGCATTCATTCATCCCCCCTTTGCTGATTCATTTCCTAATCTCTCCCCTAGAATTTATCATCCATTTAAGTTCAAGCCCTCTTTCCTTTGTTAAGAAAGAATAAGCCCCTTGAATCTAACCACTTTTTAGACTTTCACTTTCTTTCTGTCAATTTTTGTGTATGTGCTTATTAGTTAACATTGTGTGCAATTCCTTGTTTATTTTAATTTTTATTTTTCATATTACACTTTATTCATATGATATCCAGGCTGTAGCACCCTCCTTCATTCCCTCCCGATCCCATCCTCCTGCCATCATCTCCTCCCATGCCCCTCTCCAAGCCCACTGATACAGGAGGTCCTCCTCTCATTCCATCTGACCCTAGCTTATCAGGTTTCATCAGTACTAGCTGCAACATCCTCCTCTGTGGCCTGGCAAGGCTGCTCCTCCCTCAGGGGGAGGTGGTCAAAGAGCCAGCCAATGAGTTCATGTCAGAGACAGTCCAGTTTCCCCTTACAAGGAAATCCACTTGGATACTGAGTTGCCATGGGATGCATCTGTGCAGGAGTTCTCAGTTATCTACATGCATGGTCCTTGGTTAGAATATCAGTCTGAGAAAAGACCCCAGTGCCCAGATTTTTTGGTTCTCTTACTCTCCTTGTGGTTTCCTGTCCCCTCTAGGTCTTTCTATCTCCCCCTACTTTCATAAGATTCCCTGCACTCTGCCCAAAGTTTGGTTACGAGTCTCAGCTCCTGCTTTGATACACTGCTGGGTAGTCTTTCAGAGGCCCTCTCTGGTACTCTCCTGTCC